AAAAATCGCAACCAGCAACAGTAACAACATAAACATACAGAAGCAGCTAGAAAATTTAAAAACGTTAGCAAACGAAAGCAACGTGTGCCAACAACCTCACGACCGGCAGATGACTAAAGGCACGAATGAAATTAGCAAAACCATAACTCTTCAACTCTTGTATGAAGAGATTATCAACTTAATAAAAATAAATTTGGACTTTTTGTTGGCGGTAAATGAGCTGAAGGCGGAGAATAAAACCTTCAGCCTCATTGCGTATGTCGTAAATTAGGCTGAATTGTACGACTCGACAACATTAGCGTTGTCTACTGTCGTGCTGAAATAAGTAAACGACGAAAATTGTCGAAAACTATGCAGTGCTGCCAAATTCTTTCGTTTTAATACACTAGTCGAGTGGAAATTTTAGGCAATGACGCTAAATTTTCGATACGATTCGACTCTCGAAAAACGACTTCGGCATTCGGCACGACTCTCGCAATGAGGCTGATTAAAAGAGAAAGTGGGAAAACTAGAGTCTAAGCTGAATTGCAGAGAGCAGAAGCATCTACAAAACGCAATTAAAATTGCTGGCATATCAAAACTTAGCAATGGCAATGCTGACTCTTGTATGCACTAGTTCGTAAATAAGGTGTTGGGTGTTTCTGTCAATGCTGATAACCAGGGAACGGATTTTATGCAAATTGCCTTTTTTCTGCTAAAGAGATATTCGATTAAGAATGTCCACGACTTAGCTTTCCCTGATTCCATATATACACATTTGATGTTGCCTTTTTTTGCCGTTTTTAAGATATTTACATCTTTTTACCTTTTCAACCTTTAAAAAAGCGATTATAGCATTTACAATTTTTTTTTTTTAAGATTAAAAAATATACACATGCCCATGCGGCTTATAGAGGCGCAGAGACCTCTTGCCAAATTGGTGTTGGAAAAATTCAAAGCCGTTTTCTCAGTTACCGTAGGCTTGGGGACAATGAGGGGTGTGGATAAAATTGTAAAGAGCGAGGAAAACGCCCTTATTCCTGATAATATGAACGTTTTAATCGTTCCATATTTAAATTGGGCTCCACTTGTATCAACTTACGTCGAGCGCACATTTAGTACATTCAGGGCTTTTCTTCGCGAAAATCGAATGAAAATGCTGCCAGAAAACTTCAAAATGCATTTTGTGGTTCAATGTTACTACAACTATACAGATTAAAGTTTTATTAGTTAGAAACTCGAAAGGATAAAATAGTCAAAGATTTAAAGTACAACTTTTTCATATAACGAAACTAGTTCATAATTTTTCTCTTTTTACCTGTAATATAAACATTTCTAAAATAAATGTATTTTTTGAAGGTTCTTTGTATTTTCTGTCTCTTTTAGTGCCTTTTCCTGCCTTTTTCACTATTTTGTTTTGCCTTTATTGCAATACCTAGTGCCTTTTCCTGCCTTTTTCGCTGTTTTATTTTGCCTTTTCCAGCCTATTTCGTTATTTTATTTTGCCTTTTTTATAGGTTTTTAGGTCCTAAAAATTCGTTCCTTGCTGATAACATAGAAAAGTGTTTTGTAAGGAGAGTAAAACCTAAGAGCGCAGGTACATCCACTCGCGATATTCTCTGCGTTCATTTCTCTTCCCTGGACTTAAAAAAGAAGATAATGGTTGCCAAAGAAATGCAAAGTTAACATCAGAGCTTTTTAATGACGGTAAACAGAATATTTATATAAATGACTCTCTTACTAAGTACAATAGAGCGTTGTGTATGGCGGTAATGGGGGCAAAAAAGGAAAAAAGTATATGTATCTGTGGGTTAGCAACTGCAACATAATGATGAAAAAGGCTGATGATGATAGGGGCTGTCCTTGTAAGAAGTTTTGAAGATCTGTCAAATTTGAAATGATCCTAAATCACCTTATTGATAACTATAGCCTTAGCAATATCAGCCTTATTAATAACCCCACCTTAATTTACAAAGATGCCTTTTTTGTTGTCCATCAAAATATACGCAGTTTAAGGCAAAATTTCGACTTGCTAGTTTGTAACCTTGAAGTTTTTCGAAACCTTCCAGATTTAATTTTTTTATCTGAAATATGGATCTACGCTTATGAAAAAGATCAAAATAAAATACCGTGTTACAATTTTTATGCAAACAGAAACGAATCCTATCTAGCAGGAGGCGTTGGAGTTTTCGTGCGTGATGCTTACGACTGCACTCTTTTAAATTACAATTTAATAAGTGCAGATGTTTTAAAAATATCTTGCATTATTAATGTTTTGCAAAAGAGTTTTTTATGCGTTTATAGATTTCATTCAGAATTCTTTTGCACGTTTTTGGAAGAATTTTCAATTCTGTTGAGGAATGAGGACGCTGAGAATGTGGTTGTTCTTGGTGATTTTAATGTCGATATTATGCATTCTTCTGTCTTTTCGGATAATTACCTTGTTGCTGTGGCTAATCAAGGACTGTCTTTGTGT